TTAACAAATTTATCCATTTTCCATTTTAGCCTGTCCTATAAAAAAGTAGCAATTTTCTTTTTTTAGTAATTGTATTATATATCTAACGTTACAAATACTCTTCCAATTTACAATATATTACACAAATGTCATTACATTTATAAGATATTAATAAGGTTAGTTTAGTCTTTTTACTTTTATTTCTACTATCTTCTAATATAATACTAATATTTCTAAAACTCCGTGCAAAAAGTAAACAGATAGATATGAGACAAAGAGAGTATAATAATTTTATTTTATAAATAATCATATAATTATAAAAATACTCATACTTTTTCATTAGTGCTACACAAATGGAACTACTTTTTTATACAAACAAATGTACAATGATAAATATTTTTTTACATATTTTTTCTACCAACTACTAATATAATATCTATATAAACCTATTTATTCTTTCGAGACAGAAAGAGTATTGGAATAAAATGACTATTATTATTTTTAAATATTTTGTAATAAATTTTTATGATTTGTTTGGTTTATTAACCCAAACCAAAAATCAATTATATTCAACTCTTAACACACTGGTCTTTCTCATCCAATTCAAATATTTACATTTTTTTTTTTTAAGTAACTATATACTCTACCACTAACTACTAACACTATTTTTACATTTATTTACCATTTTACTCTGACTTTATTATATAAATAAAATATTAATATTTTTAAACCTGGAGGGTAAAAAATAGATTGTGTTCTTATGTAAGTTTTTATCGCACATAATTTTACTATTTAGATTTTTTTTTTCTAAAAAAAAATATATCACATTAAACAATTACTTTTTCTTTTTTATATTATAATACAAATTTATTTTACATTCAAAACATCGTATTAGTTACTATTTATATCACATCAAACAACTATTCAAATTCAACTTTTTACTGTTCAAAAATTCAAATTCAAAACCTAAAATGTACAAACAAACACAACTACAAATGCAAAGTAAACACACATTTTCTATCTTTAAAATAGTCCTGTAAGAGATAGTCTGATGGTGTGGGATTAGATATGGTTTGCCTAGTGTAATTTGTCCGTCAACCCAGTGCGCATATTTTTTCGAATAGTAGCGATGACGATTCAAAAAAAAAAAAAAAAGACTTTAAAATCCTAAAATACTTCACAACTAAACAAATTCATAATGAGAGAAAGAGAGAGGGAGAGAGGCATCAAAATCCAAGTTGATAAATGTGATGGTACAAAAATGAACACATCCCATCACATTCATCAACACTCGGCTCCTCAATTATTGAATGCATACACATATTTATATTTATATTTATATTATATATCTAAATATATTTGGCTACTGCCTACCAATAATTCAATTGCATATAATAAACATATACATACATACATACATATATATGTCCCTTTTTATTATCTTTGAAACCCTAATATAAATTGGTTCCTATCCTTGGGAACCGGTGCCCTTCTCTCTCTCTCTCTTCAATATGTACATAAATCAAACCTTAGTTCCATAAGGAATGTCCGGCAAGGATTGTCCAGTGGTGTGGAGGTTGACTTGTCCCTATGAAGTCATAAATTCAAACTTTCGATGCCTCCAGATACATCTGTCACACATAGTTTGTCTATTGTGACTTACCTTGTCATGCTTAGTTTGCATAATATTAAATTCAGTCGGGATTTACCCAAAGCGCAGTCAATAAGTAGCAATTGCAACTTCCCACGTCATATAAAAAAAAAAAAAAAAAAGGGAAAAGAAGAGAAATAAAAATCAAACCTCAAACATACAACACACAGTTGGCAGGCAATCTTGAAACAATTTGAGATCAAATTAGCCAATGTGTCACCTCTCAACTCTACATTAGCTACTACTACTTCCCAATGAGCTCTGATGTACTACAAATCCTGTTCCTACCACACTCTATTCATATCAAATATATTATACAAAAGTAGAGCATATATGTCTTTATACAAACAAATACCACAAACTATTGAAATACTAATGTTTCTTTATCTCAGTAACAAAAAATAAATATTTACTTTATGGTTGGACAATGGTTGGACAAAAAGAGTAATATTTTTTTCTAAAAATATCTAAAAAACAGCAAAAATAAATATTTTAAAATAATATTTTCATAGTTATCACTAACAAACAAAAATCCCAAAAATTCCTAAACACTAAGAACTTAACGTGCTAAAATGAAAATTCATATTGTAAGAAGCAAAGCAATTCTTGTAATTTGATTATGTTTGGTGATGTGTGTGTATCTTGTCTCCATTTTTGCATTCTGAAATCTATAATAAAATATAATTTCCGCCTAAACAAAATATTACTCCCAACATCTCCGTCCTATTTTTTAATCCAAAATAATGCAGGACAGTTAAAATAATTCAAAACACAAGTGCATTTATACATAATTTGGGATCAAAATATATTTGTTTATTCGCCCATTCAATGATTTCTAACAAGTTTTAAATTCACATAGAATAAAAAACTAAATTATCATTTTATTTTATTTTATTTTTATCATGATACAAGAATGCATGCTCAAAGTTGATGCACCTTTACAGTATAGAAAAGTTAAAAACTAACTATTCATAGATGCTGTTTCTATCACTATCATTATTTATTTAGCTATGTACTCTTTATTATAACTAAAGAATGAAAACAGGGATGGTTGGGATGAGAAAGTGGGTGCCAAATGTATTGAAAAAATAAAAAAGATTAGAAAATAGAAAATGAGGAATAAATTTAAAATGACAGTAACAGAAGAAGACATAAAGGTGAGTGTGATGAAAAGGGCAAAGGGTAGATAAAATGATGGTTTTATTTTTCTGTTTTTCAAAGTTTTCCACCAAAACCTCTTAACACAATTCGCTGGTTTACTTTTTCTCTCTGTGGGTTTCACCCATTTTATGTCTTAAACTTCCACTAAAAACAAAATCTCAAAAAAATAAAAAAAGTGGGCTGGAGAAACATAGGTATTAGGTCACTCATTGCATCAATAATAATCATAATAATAATAATAATAATAATAGAAAGATAAACAGTTGGCTGGTGATAAAAATCTTGTCCAAGATAAGATGAGTAATAGGAGGAGAATATGTAAGTGTCCAAAAGAGGACAGGGTAGAGGTTTGGCTGGTGGGATGCAGGTTTAGGTGTCACCTCTGAAACTTTTTATTCATCTTCTTGGATTGTTTCCAAGAATTCAAGAAACCAGGGCCCATTACATGATGTGTTTTTTCTTGAGATATTGGCTTAAGGCCCTTTCTGTAATGGCTATTATTTTGGTGTGTGAAAGGAAAGAAACCTGTGGTGAAGAATCAAGAACATGGTGGAGCCTAATCTACATTCCCTACAGGTCATGAGCTGCTGTTTTCTTTTGTAGAATATCTCATAAAAGATGCCTAGCTTTAACAAAAATCACCTAGTAGATATACACACACATATATAAGTGTTAATTTGATGTGTCAATAAAGGTACTAAAAGATAGCCATAGTTTCAGATAATCAGCATTCAAATAGTTGTGCAATAGAAAAGAAAGTGATAATCAGATGTTTGAGAAACACTTTCTCACACTAAAGTTGATGCATAAACACATCCTATCTATAGATAAACATGTTCCACATAAAGTATTCTAGCATTCAACGAAATTTCCGGTGAAAATGGTTCTAGGTGGGGTTAAATGATCCTATTGGTTGATTTCACAAACTATGATGGCGCATTTGAAGATTGAAAAAGGAAGTCGAAGAGATTACTTATTTTCACATAGTTCATAAAGGCAACAGAAAGCATGTTCTTTCAAAGTTCCGAATAATGATACAAGGAAAAGAATAAAGTAGAAACAGAAGACTGCATCAGGTTAAGCTTCCTCGTGAAGTTTTAAAAGAGTGGAGAAAGAACTGTGGGTGAAGTTTTGTAGCTGATCAAAGTCAAAGATAAGATTCAGCTTCAGAGACAAGTTTCACATGCAGTTCAGTTGTGTAGTTCCTTTCATAGAGTTTAGTGGAAAAGAACAAAGGGTGTGTTTGTTTTACATTTTTTACTATATAGACTTTGCGATTCCCTGAAAAAAATATATATATGTATAATTTTTACTCTTACAAAACATCATATCAAATATTATTCAAATTAAAAACAAAAACCTCGAAACCCAATTCAAGTTGAAAACAAACACACCCTTTAGGCTTTGTCCACGTATATCCAAAAACCACTTGTAGTACTATTCATCTACAGTACGATTTTAAAGAAACCATCACAAAATACTTATTTCTTTTCACAAAATATCACTTTAAATACATATTTTTTTCTTACAAAATATCACATAAAGTACTAACTTCTTACTATTCTCCAATTTTTTCAAAACTTCCTAAAACTCAGCCAAAGGTTTCCTCTATGACAAGTGGTTTATGAAAAGGGAGTCTAGAAATATAATAAAAGAAACGCGGAAACACTTGAGCTGTTAAATAAATGTGAAGCCTAACCTGTTTTTAAAAGACTGATAGATGCAAAACCATAACATAGAAAAATCTATTAAGCAAAGACTGAGGAGATCTAAAAAGATTGAATTATTGGAGCCTTCATGTAATATTCTCCTTAAATCAGACAAATGATCATCTAAACTAGAACAGAATAAATCAACCAAATATTTGAAAACATCATACAGTACCGTACCAAATATTATCGAAAAAAGAAAATGTAAAATTGCCGTAATGAGAAATACGAGAGGTACAAGCTGGATTCACCTTTTTTTGTCTTCTTTTCAGCAATTCCATGTCTTCTAGGCTTGGGGCTAATGGCTCCATCAGATAGCCAAATATATACCGATCCATGCTTCTTTTAGGAAAACTGCAAGAGAGGAATTCCTTTCAAATGGTCCAATGCTCGCCCAGTTAGAGGAAAAAAACAAAGTAGATAAGGGTGTCACAACTCGCATCAATATCGACAATTCATGTAATAGCTTATCAATAGCAAGAAATAGGCAGAAAAGAAAGTTTTAAAGAGAATCTAACTTCTCACTCAACAGATCAAAGCAACAATCCAACATAATTAAACTTCATAAACATGAGAAACCAAAAAAAGGGAGGGGATACATCTCACTCCTCGACATACATATGCATCACTTAATATTTGCTCCATACGAATCTCTTGTCAACAGAAATGCTCGAATAAGTATTCTCTAAATACCCATTTGATCGCTACCTTGGAACATAAAAGTGAAACCACCTCTTACGGGACATTCATGACTTGAATAGATTGCAACATGTCAGAGACAGCAAGAACAAGGTCCCCTGACTTGATCATTCCCCGTGCTTTTAGCAAGAAGAAAGTCCTGTTGAGATTGTTTTCCATATCATCAGAAAAGTTCAAACGGAATGGTATTAGACCCCACTGGAGATTCAGGCGTCGGCGTAAAGTGGTGGTTGTAGTAAATGCGAAAATTGGGCAGTCGGGTCGGCAGCGAGACAACAGAGAGGCCATGTGACCAGACTTCGTGTAGACAAAGATGGCATCCACCCCTAAATTATTGGCTGCAATATAATATCCAAAATCAGATCATTGAGACGTAAAAGACAATAAAGGAATGAAAACACAAAGGATTCGATTGAGCTCGGTATCCTAACTCTCATATCATGCTACTTTGAAAGTTAAATGTTTCACTTATGAGCTGAGAACTACCCATAATTACCATAGGATAATAGTTTTCTACAAGTCCGTAAATTTAAGGAAGTGGCCTAAAGAAAGTATTATCCAATCCGAAGATGGCACAAAATAAATGGTTCGTACCCATCTTAGCAGCTGAATTGCAAATCTCCTCAGAAATGCGATCTGCAGACGAAGATGCTATACCAGGCAGGTCGGTAGCTTCATGACGCTTCTCCTCTCTCCACCATTTCTCAATCCTCAAGCTAACACTTCTCAAAACGGTCAATGCTTTCTCAGGGTACTGGCCCATGGCAGACTCGCCAGACAGCATTAGAGCATCTGCTCTTTGACGAACTGCTTCGGAAACATCAGCTACCTCAGCTCGGGTAGGTGTTGGGTACTCTATCATCGATTCAAGCAATTGACTCGCAACAATTACTGGCTTATTGAGTTGTCTGCAGACTTGGACTATCCTCTGCTGTGCAGATGGAACCTGCTCCAGCGGGATCTGCGCACCCAGGTCTCCTCTTGCCACCATGGCTCCATCCGCAGCTTGAATTATTTCTTCTAAGTTTCTTAACGAGTCTATGCTTTCTATTTTTGCAACCACAGAAATGTCACTGCATTGCCCCACCAGTTCCGCAAGTTAATTAGACATTTTTTTCAGGAATTAGACAAAATGATGTGTAAACAGTAAACACAAAGAGTATAGATTTAAGTTTCATCAGAAATTCAACATAACTTTCAATCTTCAAATTAATATAACACCACCTGTGATTCTTTCAGAATAGTGGTAAGGCAAATTTGTCAACATTAGAGATTCAATATTATAATCAAGAACTATCATTAAGCATCTGAAGGGAGAAAAGAAAAGAAACTAGTGTAAACCTCACCTATCCCGAGCACGTGCTTGAATATAGCTCTTTAAATGCTTTATAACTTCTGCAGACTTTACAAAAGATATAGCGATAAAATCAACACCCTCAGCAATGCCGAAATCAATGTCCAACCAATCCTGAGGCAGAATGCACCAAGTTAGACCAATGAAACCAAAAAAAAAAAACATGCCTTCATATTAGTCTTTGCTTCAATGGAGGAAAAATAAATTATATCCTAATAAAATGACTGTACAATGATGCCAACCTTTGACGATATCGTAGGAAGCATTGCATTTCGTTCTCGAACTAAGCTTCCATCACGCCAGAATGTAAGATTAGCTCGAGGCAACAGTAGACCAGGATCTGTACAGAGACACTTGACATCTGGACCAATTTTCTCAATCACCTCAAACCTTACCATTCCACCATCTACAAGAAGTTCATCGCCTACTTTAACATCTGTCATTTGAAGAAAAAAAATAGTTCTATTAGCCCACAATATCCTTCTGTACACGACAAATCAACAACCACACCTTAAAGCTTAATATGTGTACTATATGAAACTGGATCTCTTCAACCTTCAGCGAAGCCATCATAGTTCACATGTATAGTGCGTTCCGGAAGAGTTGAATCATAAGTTCTAACGCTGAATGTCCATATTTCACCATCCTGCATAAGATTACACTTAGCTTTAACAATAACCAATAACAGTATATCATGAGTGGCAGCAACAACAGCAATTTTGTTGTTGCTTCTCATTGATTAAAAAATACCATGCATCTCAAGAAAATAGTGTTGCCGACTCAGTTTCTTGTACAATACCATAAAACTTAAAACTACAAAGATTGTACCCAAAAGAAATTCATCTTACTGGTTAAATATGCATGATTAACTGGAAAAAAAATAATAATAACCTTTTAACTTAACGAAACTAATTATATCCTTCTTTAACTTGGCAAGTCTCTTACCTAGCACTAATCCAAGAATAGCACACATAGTTTTGATTGATTTAAGTTTATAACAAACATTTTCTGCTCATCTGATGGTGTGTTTGTTTGGGGGATTTTCCCCAAAATCTACTATTCATCAAATTTTTTCCTCCCAAAAATATCGAATCAAACAATTATTTTTCATTTTTCATATTATATGAAAAATCAATTTTACATTCAAAATATCACATCAACACCTATTTATATCACATCATATAACTATTCAAATTCAAATTTTTACCATTCAAATCCAAACCCCGAAACAAACACAACCTAAATGAATAATATGAAGCCGCACACTCGATGAAAAAAAAAAAAATTAATGTATCGATTTCAAACCCTAATATCTAAGCTTAATCCATTACGACATATAGCAGTCTCATTATATGACCACATTGTGCTTTCAAACCTGTAATAGACAATATAGCCAACACAAAATTTGTTTCGATTTTCAAGAGCTATCATTTCTTATGGTGCGTTTAGTACAAAGATAAAGAATTTTTTTTACAAAATGGACAGAAATGTAGATTAAAAATTGCAGGGTGTCATTTGGTTTTAATTTTTAACTTTTTCTATTCAACTTCTACAATTTTCTATAAAAGTACATTCTCTTATCTCACAAAATATCACATCCAAATTACTACTGAAATAAAAAACCAAAAAATAAAAAAGATAAAAATAAATCACCAACTAAATAAACTATATTTCTCCGCGAATCTCACTCTACTAAAACCTTCTCTTTCTGATTGTCTCCTCCCACTCCTCCCAGTAGATTCATTCTCTCTATTGTTTTTCCTCACTCCACTAGAACGCAATACATCATCTCCACCCGATCGATCCATCCGTATTGATGCATTTCTATGTGGCATTTATCAGCTGAATTCTCACTTTTATCAAACAAAAAGAATCAATTCTCATTCCATGTCAAATTCCGTTGAACAATTCTATTCTCTCCAATTACATTCTCTCTAACAAACATACCCTTAAATCATCTTTCCAATGGCGTAATTGGATCAAGAAATGCAACAAATGCAATTAAATTCAAATTCTTGAATGAAATCAATGCTCATTAGATCTCTATGAATAATAATAATAATAATACCTCAGCTTTAGCAGAGGAAGCACCGCCAAGATCCCCCATGTGAATCTCACTTCCTTCAGTATCCATCATAATCGCCACTGCATATCCCTTCTCCTCATTCAATCTTCTCACACTATGAATCACCTCCCGATGCCACTCCCTCGTGCCGTGGCACATGTTAATCCTCGCAACGTTCATTCCCCCGACCGCCAGCGCCTCCAGCTGCTCCGGCTCGCAAGTAGCAGGACCAATCGTGCAGACGAGCTTCGTCCGCCGCGTGCTCCGGAAACCGTTCTCCTTCAGCTCCGCCTCCGTCACCGCATCGACGTCGATCGAGCCGGAATCCGTAACCACCGCAGGCACACGGAGGCTCTCCTGCAGCGCCGCGGAGCCGGCGCCGTTGTCGGTTGTTAAAATCGAGGGATTCGGATCGGAAGCAGAGGCTTTGACGAACAGAGCGGCTTTGCTAGGGTTTTGCGCGAACGGAAATCGGGAGACGGCGGCGGTGCAAGGCGGGAGGCGGCGGTAGATGAGTGGCTTTGTGGTGTGAGGTGTGGAAATGAAGAGATTCAGCGACTGCGCCATTGTTGATTTCTCACACAGAGATTATTGAGCAGTAAAACCTAATGCTTCTGCCGCCGGGGAGAGTGGTGAACGGCGTCGTTGCGTATCGAGTGGAGGTGGAGCGCGGCGGAGATCCTGAATCCGATGGCGATAAATAGCCAAAAATGGTCTCTGGTTAGGCTCTGGCGACGGCGGAGAAATCAAGGCGGAGCTTCGGAAGTATCGCCGCCAACAGATTGAGGAAATAGTTCAATAAATAGTAGTACGTATTTTTATTTATTTTTATCCAATTATGGTATAATAACTTTATTACTTGGGTGTTTGTTTTTAATTTAGAGTTTGAGACTTTTTTTTCTTTTTCTTTTTTTAAATGGCGTGGAACCCGCGGCCGTTATCCGTATCTGCTAAATTTCAGTCGAATTTAATATCTTTCAAACTAGGCCGACAAGAAAGTCACACTAGTCGAACCATGTGTGGTTGAGAGTTTTAGATATATCTTGTAGTAATATATCTTGAAGAGGTAATTAAGATAGTTTGTTCAAAAGCAATCGGAAGCAGCAGAGAATAAGAGACTTGAAGAAGATATTTGTTGTCAAATATGCGGAGGAGACCCGAATGAGCTGGACAACCCCACCGATGGCATACTGTCGAATGAAGTGACAATCAAACTCAATATGTTTGGTACGCTCGTGGAAAGTATGATTGTGGGCCATCTTCGTAGCACTATACCTAAGCAGTGAAAAGATCAGTCAATAATAAAAGTTCTGGTGAGAGAATTTGACTCGGCACTCGATCGAGAAACTAAAGTCTCTTCTTGCTACGCCTAGAAGATTCACCTAAGAGGAAGCAAAAATCGATGATTGGCATGATCACTAGCCCCCAATCGGCATAAGAGTAACCGCTGATAGTCGATGAGTGAAATGAAAAGTATAAACCATGCAGAAGAATATATTTCACATAAGAAGAATATGCCAGACAACAGAGTGGTGAGAGGTCTTATGAACGGTCATGAACTGACTCAAAATATGTAAACTGCATGAACGATATCCGATTGCGTAACAATTAAATAGATCAAACTCCTAACAAGCTGGCGATATAAGGTAGGATCATCAAGAAGAGTGTCATCATGAGGGGTAAATCGAACGTCGTACGCAAGAGGTGTGGAGGCTATCTGATAATCTGTGAGACCAGCTCAAGCAATAAGATCTGAGACATACTTAGCCTGAGACAGAAAGAAACCATCAGGTGAGTCAGAGACTTCAAGTCCCAAAAAATAACGAAGGGTGATGATCAGGAATACCAGACGCATCATCCCCGTGATGATCATATCATCAGCATAACAGGAATTGGAATCAAAATACTACGAATTGTCCATGACATAAGAGGAATTGGAAGCAAGAACTCGATGCGAAAGAGTCACGATATTCTGGACTGACGAAGTCATATCAGTAACAAAAGCAAAATAAATTAACTCTAATGACGAAACCAACCATACAACAACGTAGATAACCAAAACAATAAGCGACGACCGAAAAACGACAGCTGGAGGAGGCCGGACGCGCCGTCATGGGCGACTAAAAAACGGCGGCAGCGGAAGTGCCTTCCGCCGCGATTCGCGCCAACGGCGAGTGTGGGCCTGGACAATGGTGGTTCGAATGGTGGGGGCAGCGTCAACCGGTGTCTGGCGAATAACAGCAGCGGTGCTTACGGTTTCGGTTTTAAAAAATCTTGCTTTGATACCATTTTAGAATTTGTGGATAAATTATGAAATTGTATTATTACGAAAATAAGAATACAAAAATATATATATATAATAGTGGGCTCTATACTAAATTAAAATAAATAATAGTACAAAATAGATATTTAAATCTAACAAATATAAAAATACATTATATTAAGTTAATTATTTGACTTTTTTAACGAGTATTGAAAGTTTTTTTTACTTTTAGACTTTTGTAAAAAAAAATTGTATTATTTATTATTATTTTTTGAAAATCATAATTTAAAATAGTGCTTGAAAATATAGTGAATCGTTTAAATAAGAAATACTCCATTTAGACCATTATATTGTATTTTTAAATGGAGGGGATTTTCTAGTATATAATCAACTTTTTTAAAAACGTATATTAAATTAAATATATATTTTTTTATTTTATAGTAAAAATTGATTTTACCTTTAAAATAAAATATCAAAACATATTTATATTATAGTATCAAATAAATATAATTTAAAATTTTACTATATAAAATTTCAATTAAAAAATTTTGTTTAACCATACAATTTTGAAACATCTAAATTTAATTATCTATATTAATTTTTTTAAAATAAATCACATTAAATATATTTTTTTTTCCACGTAATAAAAAATCAAATATTAAATTTTTATTGTTTTAAAAACTCTAAAATTATCCGTAAACTTCCAAACAAACACACAAATGATGCATTATTATATTGGTAGATTTTTAGGTACTTCCATTCCACGAGGTGCATATGATATGTAATAAACTATCATATATACATATATATATATATTAAAATTATTCAATAAATTACACTATTCAATATAAACTTTTCAATAAAATATAAACTGCGGAATACTTGATTGTTTTTATTTTTTGAATTAAATCTTTTTGTTACTTTTAATATTTATTTTTTTAGTATTAAATTATTAAAATAAATTATAATATTTTATTTTTTTAATAAAAAAATAAATTTGCCGGATTGACTCCGAACTCGAAGGATTCAGGGCGAGACGGATCCTAAAACCTAACGGGCACAGGCACATTTCCGGACCTGTAAAACTTACTCCGAATCCACCCATTGATATTTACCTATGACGTGTATATTAATACAAATAAATATATATACATTATTAATATAGGTAATTTTACAAAATAAAAAAAATTGAATATATATTTCTTTTAAAAAAAGGCAATATAAAATTATAAGAAAATTTTATTTTAATCAATTTAAAATTTCTTTTTATTTTTCTCACGACAAAATATATATATTTTTATAAAAAATTGAATATGAAAATAAACTCATTTAGTTAACACACTTTTATTTCGCTGCGACCCCTAAAATGTTAGGACCGGACTTGTCTTTGCCAGGCAACGGGCGAAGACACAACTAAAGCGTCACACAATGTCCGAACACGGACATGTCCCATGTAGTCCTACATGGTTCGTGTAATCCATCGCGTTCAAAATGGGCTCGTATTTTTCCTTTCTTTGTTCTCGCTTTCGCATTAAAGATTTGTGCAATAATTTGTAAAAGACACAATAGTTCTTTCAAATGTAAGATAATTTCCCATCGAAGAGCTAATATAATGTTCGAATAATGTAGCTATAAGATGTAATGATCGCCATGATTTAACTATCAATCGCACTAACATACCGAAGTTCAAGTTTTCACTATGAATGCCTTCCTCGGATTGCGATAGCCTCGAATTCCTCGGACATGTTGCGAAAAGCTTACCAAGTTGTAAGAGAACTTATCCACAAAAACTTGGGGGGAAACAAAGAAATCTGGTAAGAAACCTCGGCATTGATCATAGAATCCGGCACCGGCACTTTTCAGACTTTGGAGGGCCTTCGAACCATCTGTCCCATGTGGGATTTATCGGACCGATTGTTCTGTAAAACGCAAACAATGAACGATACTTTTAGACTCTCTTAAGACATATTTTGAAAATAGTAAAAAATTAATAAAAATAATAATAATTCTACGATGTGATGTAATAAGTGCTTAATTTACGATATTTTGTATATAGGAAATACTACTCTGATTACATACATATTTTTGAAAGTTCTGACACTATAAATTAACTTAATTTTTTTTTAAATATATATATATATATATAAATAAAATATCTATTTATTCTCACAAAATATAATACCAAATTCTCAACATTTTACTATAATCAAAATTCCCAAACTCTTATCTAGACAAACTTTAAAAGTTTCTTAATGTAATATAGTAAATAAAAATTAGGAGTTTGTTTGTTTATGATTTTAAACACAAATCTCCGCACGTTTTTAATAAAAATATATTACTTATTTCTTTTCATAAAATGTAATACTACCTCAGTCCTCTAAGAAGAGTACCGTTTACTTTATTAGTCATTATATTTAATATTAAAGATATCCTCATTTTATATAATTTACTCCACAAATATCATTATATTTGTATTATAAGATATTAATAGAGATATTTTTTGTATTTTTTTTTTTATTTGTACTACGTATTAATATGATAATTAATATTCAAAGATACCAACTGTACTCTTCCTATGGACTAAGGTAGTATTAAAATAGTATTTAAATAAAAAGTCAAATCTAATACTAATTTCAAATCAATTTCAAACCACAACCAAACAAATCCCGATATTTGACGCGACACATGTAAACGAAACCTTAGTCTATGCAAATCAAATCTACGACGCAAATGCAAGAATTCTTACTCGGGAAGTAGAGGATCCGGTCTTGTCTCGATATTAACCAGCAATCTAATAACAAACAACATAGTTTCGTTTAGACAACCGAATAATCAGACAATCACGAAAAAAAAAAAAAACATAAATCGGGATGCATTTGAATAATCATATGTTTCTTACTCCTTGCACGCCGCAGACGCTTTATCCATTTTCTCGAGCTGCTCGAGTTCTTCCTGTGCCGGTAATAACAAACAACTTTTATTACAAAACTCAAAAACAAGAATTCGATCACAACTGCTTTTCCACAACAAACCATTTTCGACAGAAGCACCAATCACGACGTTTTTTCGATTCCGTTAAAAAGGAAAAGCTGAGGAAAAAAGACGAAACTTCTTTTAAGAAGGACGTTAAATTCGAGTGACGATACTCGTTTTTTTTTTAAATGCAAAGATTTCTCCGATTAGTTCCATCTCAAACATCAACAAAAACTCCCTTCGCACATCATCGATTTCCAATCCATTTGATGCGGCAATCGAGCATCCAATCTTAATTCTACAAAGTTCGATCTTCAGACAAACAATTACAGCGTAGAATTATTACAAAATTTTTACTAACTAAACTTCTAGAAACACATTTGACTAAAAGCCCACCAAAATGCTCGTTTTTCACCCCCACGAAAACATACTCAAACCATCAATTCGAACAAATCACGATCGAAATCCCGCAAAAATATACTATTTTTTTCACAAAATATATCGTGGAATCACTATTTAAACCCCAAATTCAAATCAAAACCTTAAAAGCACCACATTGTCCCCTTCTTGCAAACACTTTTAATTTGCAGAAACAGACAACAAAATACAGTTTGCAAAAACCCAAATCACTCCAACTAAAGATCCATTTTGTTTTATTTTTTTTTTAAATGTAAGCACTAGAACAAAAAAACTTACCCTATTTGAACACAACCATCGAGATCAAATTCAATTCGAGAATCAAATTCAAGAATCAAAATTACCAAAACAACTAAAAGGGACAAATCTCATTTAATTCCCCAAAAGAAACCCTACAAACAAACAAACAAACAAACAAGACAGAGGGCAACACCTAATCATCATTAATTTCATCGAAAATGAACCCTAATCGAAACATCAATAAAGTCAAAAAAATAAAAAATTAAAACCAAAAAAAGCGAAGCAAACAACCTCCAAGAATCGAGTTTCTTGGTCGAGCCTCTTGAGCTCAGCCGAAATCCGATGTTTCCCTCTTACATCCGCCGCCGATCGGAGCTCGCCGGAAAGCCCTGTCTGCTGCATAACTGATGATAAAAAACTGGGAAACAAAAGAACCTCAAAATCGTCGAAGCAAGAACAGAACGAATGAATCGAAATATCAACAGAAGAAAACTTGAAAAAGGGTTCGATCTTTTGTTATTGTATCGAAGACAGGGCCGTCGTCGAATCGATGATAATAATAATTTTTAATTTTAATTTCTTAATTTATTAATTTTTGGAGGGGTATTTCAATTTGGAGTTATTCGAGCAAAAGAAGCTTTCTTGCACTGCTTTCTTACGACTTTCTTTTCATTGCAAATTGGAATTCGTCAAAACAATTGACGAATTAAAAGAAAATAAGTTTTGTAATTAAAAGAAAATCTTTTTAAAAAGCTAATTTTGTATTTAGATAAGACTTTTAATCTTTGTTTATCTAAATAAATTTTACACAGATTTTCAATATATCTATTTTATTTTTTACCAAATCAGTTTTCTTTTCAATATCTCACATCAATAAAATTCTCTATTTTGTACAAAGAAATGAGACCAAATAAATGAAAATAGTATTATTTCTCTTAAAAAATAAATTATTTTTATTTCTCTTGTTTTCATTTCTCTCACATATACAGAACAGAACAGAAAAATAAAGAGAAATGATGCTATAGTATATATTTTTTAAATTTTTTTTACTATTTAATTTTTATAATTTTTTTAAAATTATATTATTTCAATTTTACAAAAAAAAAAAATTTAATTTATTGTTAAAGTATTTAATTTTTACTGTCTTTTAAGAAATTATAATTTAAAAAAAATCACCAAAAATATTTTTGATAAATTTTCATTAATTAAAAATCTCAGCAAAAGGGGCCTTTGTTTTAAGGATTTTGGAGAACTTTTATATTTATACAAAAAAAAATTTCAAAAATATCAAATTAAATATTTATTTTTTATTTTTTTATATTATACTCAACTTTAATTTTACATTCAAAATATCACATTAATATTTATTTATATTACATCATACCATTATTCAAATCTAAACCAAAAATCCAAACCTCTAAACAAACACACCCTAAGTCAAAACACGAAACAAACAAATATTTAGAGTTATTAGATATAATTTGAGAATAGTAAAAAATTATTTAATACTCTGTCCCAAAACTATAGTTTGAGTTGTGTTTGGCACGGAATTTAAGGAATATTTATATTATATTGATAATGGGTAAAAAGTACGGATAAAAGACTTTTTTGCCATTGCGAGTGTATTAGCGTAAAAAGTAGTGACAATTGTGTAATAATAATGAAAAAGTAATTGTAGTTTTACAGTGATACGAATATGTATGAAAATGAGACTATTGTTTTGACATGGACAAAAATGGTAAACAAGACTATTGTATTAAGACGGAGTGAGTACTGTTTGTCTTTCAAATTTATTTATATATATATATATTTTTTGTTATCACTTAAATTTATTTCTATTTCTTTTTTAAAAAAGTAAAAAATATCACTTTTTTTACTCTAAAAAATAAAATAATTAATTTTATCTATTTTTTTTAAAGAAATTTGTCCGATCAAATGAACACATAGTTGGATAACTGATGAGTATATATTTTATGAAGATGAATATATTTGATAAATATTTTTTAAAAGAATTATTTTTTACGTCTCAATCCAAAGGAGTTCTTTCGGATTTTATCATATTTTAAAAAGTAATAATATTTTACTTGTCAGTAAAAGTATATAAGATGATTTTGATATTTTTTTATTTTTGTACTTTATGTATAAAATATATTTATAATGTATATAAAACTTTAAATATATTTTGATATTAATATTCAATTACTTTCATTACAATAAAGAAAACAAAATTTGAATGTGAAATGGATGAAAATAATAAAATTATAATTTTAGTTGGAATGGTAAGAATAAAAAACTCTCAAGGGTGCGTTTGTTTGGAAATTTGAATTTCGAGTTGAAATTTAAATAGTAAAAAATTGATAAATAATAAAAATCTGAAATTTTTTTCCAAAAGAACACATCTAAAAGTATCCTCCTAAACTCTATTTATGTAGATATTTTAATTTTTAATTTTTTATACAATTTATCAAAAATATTTTTTACTTAAAAATCACATTATATATATTCATAAAACATCAAATATAAAGTTTTACTATTTTCATAATTTTTTCAATTTTTTTATTTTCTTATTTTTATCAAAATAGAGACTAACATGTGATGTGATATGATTTTAAGAAGGAAAATTGGTGTCTTTTTCTTAAAAAAAAAAAAAAAAAAAAAAAAAAAATCTATATATTCAATTTGTTTATTTTGTATTTTTTCTTTACAATTTTCTATAAATATTATAAATATATATATATATATAATATATAATACTCCTTCCGTTCCATTAAAAGGTTACCATTTTCTATTTTCGTCCGTTCCAAAACAAGGTTATCATTTCCTAATTTAGTAATTGTACTACATACCTAACATAATAAATATCCTTTCAACTTACAATATATTACACAAATGTCATTTTTTGTTTTTTTTACTATAATCCAATATAATATTAATATTCAAAAATTTACGTGCAAAAAAACAAATATCACCCTTCCAATGGGACAGAAGGAGTATAATATATATAAAAATTAAGATACAATATACTACTATATACTCCCTCCGTCCCAGATACCATGTCCACGTTGTCGTTTCTGTCCGTCCCGCATACCATGTCACTTTCCTTTTTTGAAAAATGATTACACACTTTCATCTCATTTTAAATTTTTTAATTTTTTTTAATTTTAATTAAACTAATTAGTTATATTAATCTTAATTTATAATTATTTATATTATAGGATAATTATTTTCACTAATATATTATTAATTATCTACTAATTACACTCATTCTAAAATACCGTGTCTACAGTGTAGCAGACACGGTATCTGGGACGGAGGGAGTATATTATAAGTTGTAAGAGTATTTGTAATGTTAGGTAGATAGTACCGTTACTAAAAAAAGAAAATGAATATTTTGTTATGAGACGAACTAAAATGAAAAAATGAATATTTTGTTATGGCACGAAAGGAGTATGTAAAATATATATAAATTTTTCGTACCTAACATAAAATATATATATATATATATAAAATAAACCTTAAATGAAAAAGTAGGTGGGCGTTTATTTATTTATTATTTGGGAACAGTTTGGGCAAGTGTGTAGATTTGTTTTTTAAAAAACAAACATACACCTATTTTTTAAATAAAATATTATATTTTTTTATGTCAATTTAAAATGTATCATTTTTATATATTCAAATATAAAAATTATATATTTTAAATAAGTTTGATTATACTATACATCATCAATATCATTAAATTTATATTTATTTGTATCAAATTAAAATATTAAAAAAAAAAAAAAAAAACCAAAAAGGTTTGTTATACAAAAATATTAGCAACTTACGTATCAAATACTCAAAATTTAAAATTACAGAAACCTCTACTTAAGCAAAGGCCGGATTTTTATACATAGATTCAGTGAATCGAAGAGATGGATATATGAAAAAAAAGAAATACTATTAAAAAAACTAAATAATAATAATATTTTAATATTAAAGTTAAGTAGATAAAAAATAAAATATACATATTATAAAAAAATATTTAAAAAAATGATAAATAAATAAATAGACTGTGCATAAATTTAGCGGATAATAAAGAAGTACTGATACAATTATGACGGATAGAAGAAAATATTATATTCCTTCCGCCCAAGTCATATTTATCTATTTATTTTTTTTACATGAATTTTAGTATATTAGTATTTTATATGACAATATAAAGATAAAAAAAGATAAATTTGTGTTTAAACCTAATTATTTTTTAACAACATCATTTGTAATATTGTGTAAACTTTGAAAATAATTTTACTAAAAAAACAGATATATTTGAATTAGACAGAAAAAATTACGAAATAATTACATATGATTCGAACGAAAGTAATATATATATTTATCAATAAATAATAAAATTGGGGTAGAAAAAAATGTAACTTTGTTCTTTCAAAAAAATTAATATACGGCACACATTCTTTATATTTCACATAATAAAAAAAAATAAATTATTTTTATATTTTTTATATAATTTATTGTACCTCGCGTAAAAAATAATTATTTCTAATAATTTCACCAAACAAAAACATCGCAGAATTACCAAAGAAACAAAAATTAAAAGCAACTTTTTGGGAATTTTCACCTGAAATATGGTCCCCCTACTTAGCTCCATTTCGGGCCCATTTTACTCATCACCTAAAGTTTTGTCATCATTCATATATATATATATATATATTTTTAAACTTTTTGACATTATTTATTAATATTATTTTTTAAAAATATATATACTACAATATAAAATACTTTAATATTTATTAGTAAAATATAATGTGTTTTTGATACATTTTTTATAAAAAGATAAAAAGAAATTAAAGCAATTCATAAGAGTTTGTTCACCGATTATTTTTTTTATATGATTTTCAATATATAATTTATTCTTTTACAAAAATCAGAGTCCAACATAAAATATTATATTTTATATTAACAATCCGATTCTCTATACTTTAGATAAAATAAATTCAAATCAAAAACACTAAACAATAAATTCATTTATTCCCAATACTTTTTTTTAATACACATTTTCAATGAATTTTAATACTTATTTTTCTTATAAAACGATTAAAAATTAATAAAAAAAATCACCCAAACACAATTCTTCCAAATATTTTGTATAATTTTCAAGAATTAACATAAAAAAATTCTTATATTTTTATAACATTAAAAAAATTCTTAGGGTGTGTTTGTTTGGGGATTTGGATTTTGAGTTGGGATTTGAATAGTAAAAATTTTGAATTTGAATAGTTATATAATGTGATATAAATAGGTGTTGATGTGATATTTTGAATGTAAAATTGATTTTTAGTATAACATAAAAAATAAAAAATAGGTGTTTGATTTGATGTTTTTTAGGAAAAAAAATAGGATGAATAGTGGATTTAAAATCCAATCCCCCAAACAAACCCCACCAATTTAATATGCTTTGGAAAAAAATTGAAATTTTGACAATAATAATCCTTCTGTCCCAAGTATCTATTTTTTCATTTTAGTCTGTCTATAACAAAATATCAATTTCATTTTTTAGTAACTGTACTATCTACTTAACATTACAAATACCTTTACAACTTACAATATATTACACAAATGTC